CTCACAAGATTGGATAAACTAGTCCAGGTAAGTTTATCGCTTTGATAGTCAATTGATTCGTTATTCAATATGCATTTTGTTATTCTAAGGTTACACCAGGATTTGGTTGTCCAATATATCTGAATGGAGATCGGGCTTTCCCTGATCTCAATTCCGTCAAAGTTCATTTCATAAGTACTCAACAACTTTATAATGGTGATAAAGTTTTAAATGAGGTAACTAGATTTATTTGCTTAAATATCTTCAAAATTGGTTATATAATAATTATTGATTTTTATTAACAGTTTCATGCTGATGAAACTTATCAAGTTTTGCGACAAACTGAACAAGAACCTGGATACAAAGAGGAGAAGCTCTACGATTATTCTCTGGGTGTGCAATATAGTATATCAGGTTATGGAGTTTGCTATACATTCCCGATCAATTCAGATGCACCTGGAATGGACGAAAGTGGTTCATTTTCAATTGCGAGTCTACTTTGGTTATCGAACTCATTGAAATATCTTGGACAGATAATATTTGTAAGTTTAACCATAAGTTCATCAACTAATTGCTAACTGGCTAATGATATCAATTGTGTTTTAACAGGAGCATAGATCTGGTTATAATGTTCACGTTTGGGAATCCACTGAGATCAATCGAGTAATGAGCGGCAAAACATATGATAAAGTGGTGACAACACAATATTTGAGTTCATCTGTGAGTATAATGTGAATGATAATTCATTTTTTGGTGGTGGCAAAGTAATTTATTTTATTCTATCTTCCTTTCAGTACCAAAATGATCTGTTTAATGGCTACAGTCTTGTTGCAGCTTCAATGAAATTGTACAGAAAAAATGAAAAGGTAAGACCAGATGTGATCATTTAAAATATAATATCTAACTGTTGAATATTGCAGGGTTCATATTATTTATCATATTCAAAGCATCGAGATTATTATGATTCTAATAGTGATTTACCTGAGTATGAATACCATGAAGCACTTCAGGTTGAAGACTGCTTCAAGAAACCAGAAGAAAGATTGAATTTAAAGTTTTATTTAACATGCAAAGGTAATGTTAACGGTCAAAGTTGTTTAGTAATTACTCAAATTAATATTCATTTACAACACGATAGATTCTGATGGATGCATACAAAAGTCACAAGATTCAGTTTATGAAATGAAAGAACTATTTCGATCAAGTTTACTTGGACAACTAGGAATATCAACTACTCGAGTTGCTGACATCGACTTTAAGTTTCAGAAAGAAGTGATTGAAGCTGATGTTACTTTCCTGGAAGCTCCAAAAATATCTGGTAATTAAACTAAACAAGCATTTAAAATTAGTTAATTCAGTTAAAATTTTATTTAAATTTGATTTTTTCTCGTATTTTCATCTACCAAAGAGGTTCTACCATCTGAGACCAAAACATTGGAGCCGCAATTCATAAAAAAATTACACGAGACTGTTACTAGTAGTGAGGAAAAGTGTCTTCGATATCATGCATCATTCGTTCCTCATGGAGCGTAAGTTTTACTTTTTTGAGTGATGTTAGCTTTTGAACAGAATTTAATTCTGGTTTCTTTTCTTTTAATTTGTTGTCCCAAGTGCTATAGTCTATTGTGCGGATGGAAATGTTTGTTTCAGCACGACGAACGAAAAAGATGTGAAGGAATCTGAAGCAGGAGCTTTCTGTAGTGTGTACACCGATCCATACAAAAAGCTCAATAGATTAGGTCGAGAAAAGCCTTTATCAGATTTACATGATCATATACTTGGTTACTTGGGACACATAACATTCAATATGAATCTTGATGAAAAAGGTAAATATTTTGTTCATCATTTATATTCACTAGATTGAACTAATTTCATTGGAATTGATCTCATTTGATTAGCCAAAGCAGTTGCTTTTCAAGTAACAGATGTCGTTGCTCAAAGCGAAGATGCTGAAGAGCGAAAACAACCATTCGATATTTTGTATCATGACAGTCAATTCGATAAATTAGATGGTGTTAATACTGTCATGATTCCTGGAGTCGACCGTTTTGGTGATTGTTATCGTGCATGCTCTCAGAATAAAGATATACCTTGTGAAACATTCTCGTTTTGTAACCGAAAAGATAAGAAGGAATGTGTTGTATCGATTTGGTCAGAACCGCAGATAAAAAATAATTTAGCAAGTGATTCGGGTTGTGAAATTTATTCGAAGAATCACGTGTCGGACTTTACTGTTCGACCTCATTTGAAATACAAGCATCCAACTACAGTGTTTAAGGAAAGTTATATTCGTGACTGTGCTTCGGAATGTTATGCTTCAAAAGATTGTGTTTCATTTCAATATTGTAGAGGCAAAAAGTGTTCATTTGGTGGATATGTAACATCAGCAAATACAGAATTTTATGAAGACTGTGATATTTATATCCGTAAGTACTAATCGCAATTAATCAAATTCTGAATTCAATTTGATTGAACTTCTTTATTTTTTCCTTACAGTCAAAAGCTCTGAAAAATATTCTGTAACTGGAACGAAGCTTGTAAGTCAAGTCTTATACACAGAAGTTGATTTGGATTTGGATCAATGTGCAGCTCTTTGTGATGATGATCAATCATGTAAATCATTCAACTTCTGTCCTAAAGGGAAAGCATCCAGTCGATGTCAAATAACTTCATATTCAATTGGAGATCCTAAGACACAATCAGTTGATTCATCCATCTGTCATAACTTTGAATTAAATGTTAAATCCAAAGCAGAGGAACTTTCCGATAATACTCTGAAAAGTAAAGTTTCTGGATTCAGTGGTGGAGGAGTTGGTGGTATTACCATGTTGTTCCTATTCATTGGCCTTTTTTCTGGCTTCGTTGGTTCTTATGTTTACACTAAAGTCAAATCAGGAGAGATGAATAAATTCAAAGATAATTTTGGATGGTCGAAGCAAGAAGATGATGATGAAAATCAAACTCAATTTTGAAATATGCAATTCTTATTAAAACTAGATTTACTGCAAACAGTGAGGTCTGAGCTTTCGATATGCAATTTCAAATATTTTTAATTTCATGTGTGTTGATGCTGCCGAGAGACTTTCGTTTTAAAAAGAATGCAGGCAAAAACTCGAGCATTTGAGTTAAGTGTTTAGCCTTGTAGGTTTTTAGAAGCATAAAAATCTTGTTCATTAGAAATTTCAAATAATTTCTACGATTAATGGAATCGAGGTCAACTTGTAACTTCGATCGCTCTTTGTGCAATTATGGCAGTAGATTTTTTCATGAAAATCATTTAAATGGCGTATTTTGATGATCAACCAGAAAATACACTTATTTTGACAATCGAAGTTACCTTTTTTACAGAAATAGAAACTTTTATCTCTCAAAATAAGTGCATTTTCGGGTTGGTCAAAAGTTACCTCAGTTAAATGCCTTTCATCAAAAAATTTGCTTCCATAATTGTACAAAAAGCTATCCAAGTTTTACCTTTGAACTCGATTTTCTCAAAAACTGCGGAAGAAAGAAATTTTTAAATCGCTTAAATGGACTCCGTTTTATGTCTCTACAAAACAACAGTATCTAAATTTGAAAGAAATTAATTTTCACCCGTTTTTGCCCATTTGTGTCAATTTGTGAATATAACAATGTGACAATTGTGTTATGTGACAATTGTATTGGCGCTCTCTATTGATATAAAATATACTCAAATTTTGGGACTGGGCCAATCTTTACCAAAAACCTATTGTGAAGTTTACATGAAAATTATAATTTTTGAGTTATCGACGAACAAAAAAACGCGAATTCGCCATATATGTCTTCGCTACGATCAGACAATTAAATTCATCAATTTTCACGAAAAAAATTGATACATTCTCATGTTGAATCCACGATTTATTTATTTTCGGAGGAAAAGAAAGGAGTAGTATTAAAAAGGTATAAGTATAAAACCGGTTATCACGAAAAGTTTAAATGAAAACACAACTTGATTAAATCCGCAATATTAAACTTGAATAAAAGATTCCATAAAGACATCTAAAATGCCATCTTCACCTCATCACTTCGTTATGTTCATTTTGTTTCACTGGCTTTCACTTTTGTTCATTGCTTGCTCCAGCACACGAAGTGTGCAATTTCAAACTACTACCATCATTCAACATCTTTGGATTGCACATGACTAAATACATATGCACAGAAAAAATTAGCATGCTTTGAAACTCATTAGTTGAGTTATTATTTGAAGGTATATGAAAAAAGCATTTTGTAGAAAAGTCTAGGTTTGACTATTTTTGGAACTTTTTTATTGACTAACGAATTTGTCTTTGATGCTCGCATGAGACCCCTCGCTTGGTATGATGACTCTATGATGTCGAACTGATCTATGTGACTTATTAGATAGATGGCTCTGGTTCCGCTTTGTTGCCATCGGTAAAAAGTTCGATTTCAATCCCATTCTAACGTAATCTCTAGTCCCCATCACCATCATCGTGCCTTCATCTTCATCTTTAATTAGTTTAATTTAGTTTATACATTTATTTTTTGTTAAAATTAACTTTAATTTATCAATCATGCCAACTCGAGGGTAAGTACTTTTTAATTTAATTCACTTTTGACCTTATAATAACCTTTTCTCTCTTTTCAGTCAATCATCATCTCTATCAGTTCAACTTAGAAGGGTACCGACTCACCTTGAGTCAGCCCTGATTGCTGTCCGCTCCTTTATCCGCCGTAGTCTCGAGCTGGCGATCGAGAAGATCAGGTCCCATGAGGACCAGGAGGCACGAATCGAGCGCCTGTTGGCGCAAAACCAACACCTTCACGCCAGGAACCAGGAGCTGAGAGCTGAGGTTGAGGAGGTAAAAAATGAATTCGCCGAAAAGGACCAATTCATCCGTTATATTGATTTGCGCTGTGAACGCGCCTTTGGTTTCCCTCCTGAAGAATTTCAGGAGAGATACACTCGTTGGGTCGAGTCTCGAGTACGAGAACTCGAGCTCAGAGACTCAAGCCGAGGCCTGCAATTTTGTATAAATTTCATTTCCATTTTCTATTAATTTTCATTAAAAAGATTATTTATTTACATTAAAAAAAGTTTCATTTTTTTCCCGGTAAAAAACTAACACCGTCTTACGGTATCATTGACCTGGAAGCGGACAGTTCGTTTGTCCCAGAAGCGGACTGTCCTGGAAAAACCAACTTGTCCTGGAAAAACCAAGTCGTCCTCGAAGAGGACATTATATGACTACTGTCATGACAAAATTAGTATGCTCAGAAAATCAGCTTGCTTTAACATTTTATATCTCCTATATATTAAAAACTATGCGTTATATTAAAAACTAACCACATATTTGAAATCAGCACTCAAATTTACATAAAAAATATGCTTGAAAAATTCTGAGCATAAGCCATTTCACATATTCTTTTTGACATCCTGCTTTATGATGATTAATTCTCACAGTTGATAATTGAAGGTGTTATAAAATGGAGTCAGTAAAAGGAAATCAAGATTAAAAAGTAAATACCAAATTCTTTCATTTATATAATCAATTTTGTTCATCACTGAAAATGATGAAATCATGTTTTCAAAGGGTGGAGGAAAAAATAAAATCTGTATTCTAAAGCACTGTAAGAGAGTCGATTTGTGAAAAGAAATGCTGATTTTGAAACATTTGTCCGACAGTTTTGGATGGAATCGCTTTCAAAGTGCAAACTTATTTAATTTAACTTTATTTATTAGTATTAATATTTAGGCGTTTTGAGGGTAAACATTTCAAACAGATCTTACAAGGATTTAAATATAATAATTCGAATAGTATATTAGTCTTTTAAGGTTGAGCAGAAAAGGTTAAGCAAATTTCAATGCTTTACAAACAGCAGTTTCGAAGGCGACTTTAGCAATTTTATCACCCTTTTTACTGGCCATTGCTTTAAGTATTTCAAAGAAGTTTGGACAATGCCATGACTTTATTTGATCTATTGAGTAATCAAAAATTCAAAATTGTAAACACTTTTTACAATAAAATAATTATCATTACTTACCTTTGAAGGTGTGAGCAAATTTTTTGATTTCACCACCAACATGATCGATACCTTTCTTTTTTATCTGTTTGATAATTTCTGCAATAAACCAAAATTGTTAGAACCAAAAAAGTTGGTCTTTACGGGTATCTTTTATTATAAATTGGACTTACTTTGCATATCGTCTTTGATGTCACGCTTTGATCGGTTAACGCTGGCTGCATAAGCGAAACCTGGTAAATGTAATAAAAAATTTGGTTTCGATTAGAGTTAAGGATTGGGTTTAATAGGTTATGTTAACTTACCAATGCACAAAGCGAGGCACAAGATTACTAAGAATCGCATTTTGTTGGTTGGAATTGAACTGAGTCGAAAGTCAAACTGATTTGAAAGTCGGAAATGGGAATAATAACGAATAAACCATTGATTTACCTCTTTTTATATACACACGTATCACAAAATATCACAGATAATCGAGTTATCAAAAAACAACGAATGGGTCTGAACAATCGGTTTTGCATTCGTTTCTAAATCTGATAACTTCTAATGAAGTTGATTTGACTCGATCTCTAATTTTAATTATTTTAATATTTATTATTTTAGATCAAGAAATAAGTGAATCAACACATAGCATTTGCTATTTAAGATTTGAAAGGAATAGTTTCTTTGGATAAAGCCAAAGGTCAATGCAAAATTCAATAGGCAAGTTTATTCTAAGCGTGAAACAAGATAAGTGGCCTTAAAAAAGACATTTGCGACTGCTTTAGGTATATTATTGCTATCTAAAGCACCAATGATGGACATTGGATAGCTCGCTTTGATCATTCAATTTCGACTCCATAAGTGAAATCTGGTATAATTTATTGAGTTAGTGGCTGGTTTGGGTGCGATACCTTTATTAACTACCGAGGTACAAAACAAGAGATGAAACTATTAAGGATTTCATTTTGTTGATGAAGTTGAATTGAATCAAGATGCTGAACCGGTTTGAAAGTTGTATGACAAATTGATAATATTTTCATCGTAATCTGGATCTTTTGCATAAATTTTTTATCCTCTAAGCTTTCAAGGTTCCAAGAAAATAATCGCTAACAGCGACAACTAACAGCTGATTAAATCAGAGTTAACTGGAAAATTATTTTTAGTATAATAAAAGATCTACGCTTTGCTATGTGAAATAGTCTCTCATGGGTTCTGCCATTATCTTTGATGCTGAAATGATGACATCTTTGTGTCAATAGATTGTCATTTAAATCATGAAAATCAGAACAATGAACAGTTCTGTAGACATTGAGCAATCCTGAGGATTCATGCCTTGTAAACATGATAAAAGCTATGGATAAAAATTGAAAATGCAACGCTTAAACAGAAAAATTGAAAATTAGTGAATGTTTTTTAAATTCAAAACTTGCCTACTGGTCTTAACAAACAATTATAAAGAGTGGTGAAATTTCATATTTGTTGACCCAGTTCATAATGGTGGGAAAGTTAAAAATGAGGTAACTAGGTAGATTTATGATATTAGGTTACTATTTAAATTTTGAGACAATCAGAACTGAAATATGAAAGCAAAAGGGAAATGCTCTTCGATTATCTTCTTGATACTCTTTATCTTATATCGAGTTCTGGTGGCTGCTATGCATCATTAATTAATTCATGAGCACCTAGGATTGATGAAATTGGTTTACATTTTCAATTTCATAATGTACAATATTACAATGTCATCGATGACCAAAGTATTTTCATAGCAAAACTTGGTTATCGAAGACATTGTAACTTTGGAGAGGTAATAAGTTTAACCATTCGTTCATTAACTAAATAATGACCAATTAAGTTTTAACAGAGACACAGATCTGGTTATGATGTTCACGTTTGGGAATCCACTGAGAACAGTCGAGCAATAAATGATTTTACATATGATAAAGGGGTGAGAAGTTGTAATGTTTTGAGTAATGGTAATTTTTGAATAGCATTTAATGTTGGTTTCTTTTATTTTATTCAATATTTGCAGGGATAAATCGAGATAGCGAAGAAACTTGGTGTCATTTATTCGAAGAATCACTTGTCGGACTATACTGTTCGACTCCATTTGAAATAGAAGCATCCAACTACGGTGTTCAAGGGAATTCATATTGATGACTGCCATGATTCGAAATGTTATGCTTCAGAAGATTATGTTAGTATCTTTAGTATCTGAAATTAATTTGAAATCTAAGATTTATTTTCAAAGGCAAAGAAAGGCAGAAAGGGAGAAAAAACCAAAACTGAATTAAAAGAAGAGATTTGAATCAAGAGAAAAAGCAATTACAGATATTAAAAAAAATATAAAGAAATAATATCCAATGAGCTCAATGGTGTTTTCAGTATGGACAATAAATACACATACACTGAAATGCTTTCAAAAATGTTGTCTTGAAGTGAAGGCACCAAACACATGATTATTTATGAAATGTTTAGTTTGTATGTTAATCATAGTTAAATCAAAAGAATGTCTCGATTACGATCGATACGGTGAATGTAGACAAAGAAATATGAGCAAAAATTTGCACGGAATGTTTAGTTTGGTCGAGATTTGTATTTAATATTAGGGTTTGCACTTAATTAATAAACAAGTTAATTTTGATCATGTTAATCAACGATCGATCTAACAGCTCCTAGATACTAAACAATGATTGATATTGAAAAATGATAAGATTGTTTGGGCGGTTGAATAAATGCATGAGAATTAATTCTCACAGTCGATAATTTAAGGTGTTATAAAATTCCAGAAAGAAGTCAGAAAAGGAAAGCATTTTTGAGTTCAACATTGAAAATGAGGAATCAAATACTTTCCAAGATGTTTTTCTTTATACTTTTACTGTTGTTAAATTGTTCAATCATCAACTGCAGTAAGTATTAAATTGAATTAATTAAAATATTGTTTAATTGTTTATATTGATTAAATATCTTGTCTTTTTAATTTAAAGCATCCTTGGTGGGATCAAGAGCTACAGGTCACAGTAATACCAATAGGATCATTCGTGCATCTTTAACGGACAAGGTTAGTTTAATTCAATTGTAATTAAAGTTACATTTGATTTATAATATTTATTAACTATCAATTAAGGATACTGGTCGTGTTTGGCAAATGCAAGAATGGGTTTACTCAGGAAGTCCAAGGGCTGGAAGAATCGAAATAAAATCAGATGAAAATGAAGCCAATGTCTTCTATTCGTACACAAACTCAATGGATAACAAGAAACGTCTCGTTATTCATGGTAAGTCTTGTTTGTTGAAAATAAAATTGGTATAAAATTTAATTTAATTGCTATGTCAATACTAGTTGACCGTAGTAGTTTATATTGATGTTTAATGTTTTTGATTTTCGTACTAGACAATGAATGCGACCTTTACAATTATGATCTCAAATGGGACAACTTATTGCCTGGTGTAAATAAACCTTTAACTAATCTTATCCTGCTTTTGGGTCCATCGGTCTTGGATCGTTTTAGTGGCTTCGATTGGGTAATTAATAGAGACATTTATTTTGAATAATCAAGACATTTTAATAAATTTATTATTTCCAACATGAAACGTCTTTGACAGGCAAATGGTAACGATGAGACTATCCGAGGTTTATCTATGCACAGCGTCTCAACCGATTTGGAGAGTAAACTCAACATAACTTTATTTTATGAAAGTAAGATCCATTTTCATTACTTTTTATGTTATTGATGATATTAATATTCAATTGATTTGATTATTTTTCATCAAATTAGATAATCTTAACCAAATGAATGGCATTCAGCAGCCAAGTCAGATTGTATTCACTGGTCACAATCCCGATACTTTAGTTGAAGGAGAAGGCGAGACTCTGATCTTAGACATTTATTTACAATCACAAACTGAACAAGAATTGGATAAACTAGTTCAGGTAAGTTTATCGCTTTGATAGTCAATTGATTCGTTATTCAATATGAATTTTGTTATTCTAAGGTTACACCTGGATTTGGTTGCCCAGTATACCTAAATGGAGATGTTGCCTTCCCTGAACTCAATTCCGTCAAAATTCATTTCATAGCTGCTGAAATAAATGAATATGGTACAAAAGTTATAAAAGAGGTAACTAATAGATTTATTTGCTTGCTCTTCAAAATCGGTTATAATTTATAATTTTTTATTCAGTATCATGCAGATGAATCCTATCAGGCTTTGCGACAAGCTCAATTATCTAAGTTTGATGACGAAAAGCTCATCGATTATTCACTTGGTGCTGTTTATCTTATAACACATTATGGGGGTTGCTTCACATCATCTATTAAGTCAAGTGAACCTGGTATTGATGAAAAAGGTTCATTTTCAATAGCAAGACTACTCTGGCTACCAAAGACATTGAAATATCTTGGAGAGATAATATTTGTAAGTTTAACCGTAACTTTGATTAACTGGCTAATGACCGATTTATACCGATTGTGTCTAAACAGGAGCATAGATCAGGTTATAATGTTCACGTTTGGGAATCCACTGAGACCAATCGAGAAGTAAATGGCGAAACATATGATAAAGTGGTGACAATACAGTATTTGAGTTCATCTGTAAGTTTAGTGTTACTGTGACTTATTTTTTTGTAATGATTTTCGTTCCTTTGATTCAGTACCAAAATGATATGTTCAAAGGCTACAGTCCTGTTGCAGCTTCAATGAAATTGTACAGAAAAAATGAAAAGGTAAGACCAGATGAGATGATTTAAAATATAATATCTAACTGTTGAATATTGCAGGGTTCATATTATTTAGCATATACAGTTCATCGAGATTATTATGATTCCAATAGTGATTTACCTGAGTCTGAATACCGCGCAGCCCTGCAAGCGATTGATTGCTCCCAATCCCTAGGAAAAAGATTGAATTTAAAGTTTCATTTAACATGCAAAGGTAATGTTGAGGGTGGAAATTATTTGTTAATTTACTCAAATTTTATTCATTCCCAATATAGATTCTGATGGATGCATTCAAAAGTCGCAAAACGCGGTTTATGAAATGAGAGAACTTTTTCGATCAAGTTTACTTGGACAGTTAGGAATATCATCCATTCGAGTCGTCGATATCGATTTTAAGTTTCAGAAAGAAGTGATTGAAGCTGACGTTGCTTTTCTCGAAGCCCCGCAAATCTCTGGTGAATAAATTATTTCTGAAACAATAGATTGTGGTAGAATAATTTTAAATTTGATTTTTTTCTCTTCTTTTCACCTATCAAAGAGGTTTTACCATATGTGGTTAAATACACGAGACCACAGTCCATCAGCAAATTACGCGAGACTGTTGCTGGTAGCGCTGAGAAGTGTCTTCAATATCATTCATCATTCGCTTCTTCTGGGGCGTAAGTTGTACTGTTTTAAGTTATGTTTACTTTTGAATAACATTTAGTTCTGGTTTATTTTTGTTAGATTTGATATTCAAAGTGCTATAATCTATTGTCAGGAGGGAAATATTTGTTTCACTACCAAGAACACGACAGAGATGAACCCAAATAGCAAGGAAACTTCCTGTTATATATACACCGATCCATTTAAAAAACTGAATAGATTAGGTCGAGAAAAGCCTTTATCCGATTTACACGATCATATACTTGGTTACTTTGGACACATAACATTCAATATGAATCTTGATGAAAAAGGTAAATATTTTCGTTCATCATTTATATCCATTGAGATTGAGTTTGAATTTATTCCATTGAAATCGATCTCATGAAATTTGAATTAATAGCCAAAGCAGTTGCTTTCCAAGTAACCGATGTCATTGCTCGAAACGAAGGGGCTAAAGATCAGAAAATACCATTCGATATTTTGTATCATGACAATCAATTCGATGAAATAGATGGTATTCATACTGTCATGGTTCCCGGAGTCAATCGTTTTGGTGATTGTTATCGTGCCTGTTCTCAGAATGAAGATATACCTTGTGAAACATTTTCATTTTGCAACGGAAAAGATAAAAAGGAATGTGTTGTATCGATTTGGTCGGGATCGCAGATAAAAAATAATCTGACAAGTTATTCAGATTGTGAAATTTATTCTAAGAAACATTTGTACGACTATAATGTTCGACCTAATTTGAAATACAAGCATCCAACTACAGTGTTTGCGGACACGCGTGAAGATGATTGTGCTGCGAAATGCTATGCTTCCAACGATTGTGATTCATTTGAATATTGTTGGGGTGGAAAGTGTTCTTTTGGTGATAATGTGACCTCAGAAGATACAGAATTTTATTATGGCTGTTTTATTTATACTAGTAAGTACTTATTGCAACAAATTAAAACCGTGTGGATAAATTATCGTACTTTACAAATAGATTAACAAAAAGTCCCTTGATCCACCCACGCAGGTTATCAACTGATAAAAATTTAAAAACTTGATTCAACATTTTCTTTTATTTTTCTTACAGTCAAAAGCTCTGAAAAATACAAAGTAACTGGAACGAAGCTTGTGAGTCAAGTTTTGTACACAGAAGTTGAATTAGATTTGGATCAATGTGCTACTCTTTGTGATGATGATCAATCATGTAAATCATTCAACTTCTGTCCTAAAGGGAAAGCACCCGCTCAATGTCAAATAACTTCATATTCAATAAAAGATCCCAAGACACAATCAGTTGATTCATCCATTTGTCATAACTTTGAATTACCCGTCAAATCAAAAGCAGATGCACTTTCTGATAATATTCAGAAAAGCAAAATTTCTGGATTCAGTGGTGGAGGAGTTTTTGGTATAATTATGTTGTTCTTATTTAGCGGCCTTTTTGCTGGTTTTATCTGCCCTTATGTGTACACTAAAGTAAAATCAAGAGATGTGAATAAATCAAAAGTTGATTTCGGATGGTCGAAGCATGAAGATGATGATGAAAATCAAACACAAATTTAAAATGTACAATTTGTAGGAAAATTAAAATTATCTATTTCAATAATATTCATAACAATAATTAACAAAACTCTAGTTAGGCTGGTTTCTAACTCCAGTTGGTGGATTATTCATAATAAGATCTTGCTTCGATTGAAGTTATTATGGACCAATATGAAAAAATATTTCTCAGTCGTTCATTGCTTTTATATTTTGTGAGTTGAATTTAAATCCGAGTGTTTTTTAACTCCAAGTCATCAGAGTGACTTGAGGCCAAAGTCGTTTTAAATACAAAAATAGCGGTTGACCCAAGATGGTAATAGCAATAAAATAATGCTGATGATGATTATTTAGTAAGGGTAAAATATGATAAGATGTAGCTTCATCCAAATCTCCATCCTCATCAAACTTGATTTTCAACTTTTAAAGAGTCAAATAATCTTCGCTATTCTCACTTAACATTAGCATTTTATATTATAGCGTTATATTAGCATTTTAATTTTCTTAGATTAGTATTTCATTCGACTATGATTAGGCTGACGGTGATAACGATGATGAGACAAACAAAGACATTTTATCCTTCACCTTCTTTCCAACCCAATAGCTTTGGAACGGATCGATTGATAAACATCCTTTATCCAGCATCTGTATGTTTACTGAACTAATATAATATCAAAAATTTCAATATCATAACCAAGCTTTTGCTTGAAATTGTTGACCAAACGTAAAGGAAGTCGCAAAGGAAATTTAAATCCCAGTGTTTTCACCAATAACAATTTATTTCTATTACAATGTAAATTATGGTTACATTTATTTGTGATTCAACGATCAGTTAAAATTCATCGTCCATTTGCAAAGGATATTTGGGTGATCTTGACGAATCATTCAAATTAATGTGTTCCCAGTTAAACAGTCCCAAGTCATTTAATCTCTAGCTAATAGATTGTCTTGTGATTAACAGCATTTCAACTTAGGGTCAGTGCGACAACTAATTGTGTTAAGAGTTGTCAATAATAAATTCAATCGGTCAATGGCCTTTTTATTTATCTTTCAATTGTTTCATCTGATTTTGCAAAATCTATCAGTAATTCTGTCCTTTTTTGGGTCCAAGAATATTTAATTTGGATTTAATCTGCAAAATTAATGGTCAATTATTTCGATTCGTAACTCGATTAGTTTATTTAGACTTGAAAATAAAATGATGAAGTTCAGGTTTGAATGTGAACCAATAGATAGCGCTATATGAAGAGTATTTGAGTTGAAAAGATTTGCTTTGAGTGAGAATGAGAGAGCAAACAGGTTGAATCTTTACAGGTTTATTTTTTATTTTGCAGCTTGTTATTCATAGTTTGGTTTTTTGTTAAATTTGTTAATTAATTGTGTAATTAATTTATTGTTAACTTTTTTATGTATTTAATTTGTTTAATGCTGTGGTAACTGTAACCTTTTCCACCGTGGATTTTTACGATTTGACTGTTTGTTTACTCTTTATCTTCCTTCTGGATCCTCCGTTTCTTTCAAAGTTTGATCAGTTACAACAGTTATGGGTGACTGTGAAAGCTGGTTGAGTGATACTATAAAGAACAGTAGCAGCAACAAGTGTGATTTCATCAGAGAATCAAAACAACATAAACTACAATATCAAACGTACGAAGATCAATACAAATTTGTTCAATTATTAGGAGAAGATAAAGATTGGAAGCAACTGAAACCCGAAAAGAAGCAACTTGAGCAACTGTTTACAACATATTTCAACTTATTTCCCTCCATCACTCTTATCAAAGATATTATTTACTTTATCCAAATTATCAACTTTATCGAGATTACCACCACTACCTGCATTGTCAATTTATTCAAATTACCTGTGTTCTCGTAACATATTCACCTAAACAGAAAAGAAAGAGATTGAAATTACGTTTTACATATACTTTTCTCTTGTTCTATCATCTTAATTCTATACATTTTTCTTTCTCCGTTTCGCTTTATTCTTGACTCACTCACTTTTTCCTTTTTTTTCTGTTACCATTACCACCTTATCTATCATAAAA